CGACGCCATCTAATCTAACAGCGGTTGCGAGAAGGAACTGACTTAGAAGACCGTTAACCGCTAGTAATGACAGAAGGGAAGATAGTACACCTCCTTATATCCCTTCGGGCGAATTTTCCCCCATCTTGGTTTTATGGTAATCACGGGAAATGAGGTGCTACCAGTACCTCTAGTTTGCTGGGACAATACACTTTCCTCCACATATTCCGGCATGACGGCAATCGGTAGCCCACAGGGCAGAGTTCCGTTCTTTGTCTTGTTCCGGTTATTTGAGAGGTCGGTGGCTGTGGTTTAAACCGAAATTCGGGAAGGAAATATTGGTTAAAAACTGAAGTACGGTAAAGTCTATAATTCTGGATAAGTTTGGTGCTGTTGCCGAGACGACAGACTGGAGGACTAAGCGTTCGAAACGAGTTCGTGTCAAGTGTATATGATACTGGATGGATGTAGGAGTACGCGGGCCTTCCCCACTCGTATACCTCGAAAGTGTCGGATGTTTTTCTCAATAAGTGTGTCGAATGAATGAGATGTGTGCTGCGTTGAATGGTGATTAATGTAAGGTATCTTATAGAAGAGATGTTATTGAATATTCCTTCCTTGTGCGGGTATCTTTCAGGGTTTACTCTGTTCATACCAGATACATAAAAGGGCTATGGTGAGTCGCCAAAAAAGCTCACCCTGTCGATGACAAAGACCACCGCCAAATTAGGCCTTCAAGGCAGGTGTTCACGTAAAGCACTTCGACTGCCATTAGTATTCTTCTGGTAACTCTGCTCTTAAAATTCTGCTGCCAAGCTTGAAGACCATCAATTTCACTATGATGCCTTGGACTCCACGCTCTAAAGGCCAATCTTTATTCGCTTCAATCCTAATTTTATTGAAAGCTGCTTCAATATCAAGAAATTTTATAAATAATAAACATAAATTAATCACACATAAAACTTAAATAAACGAATTTATGTACTATTTTTCAAAAATTTGGCAACTCTCTATGTATATATTTTTCTCTATTTACATACATACGCCCGGCAATTCTAACAACATTTTGAAGCTTTCTCTCGCTCTTCCATTAACTCACGTCAAACTTGTTTGCCCAAACACTTGTATACACAACACAATGGGCGACAATTCTTCCAATAGAAAAGAAAACCCAACTAACAAGCTACGAACAAACTAGACTACCTACCACAACATTATATACTACTTAGTACAATGAATGCAAATAGAGAGTGTGTGTATGTACTTGCAATTGATTGTAGTCGAAATAAAAACAAAAAAAATTTAACATTATTATTGTTGACGACATCTAACAACATTTGGGAGGCAGCGGAGTATATGTGCGACATTTTTCGTACGCTTGATAGTACCTAATAAACATAGTGATAGTGTAGAAAATACTCAGATAACATACAAGACTGTTAGAGGAATAATGTACTAAAAAAATCTCCTAGGCTCGTTCACCAACACACAAACGCCAGTCCACCTACGCAGAGAAAATGTTAAATACACCTTAAATTCATACATTCACTTTATTCTACTCTACTACATACTATACAATTCGAAGTCATTCAAATGCCTTTCAAAATCCAACAGCAACTATACAAGGCGGAAAACAATACGTAAGTAGACCCCCCGGTACAAACATACACACACACATTGCCACTAGTGCAAAAGGACTCTGCTACATCAAGACGACCGACCGACCAACAACTACGATGACAACAATTACAAGAAAGAAATCTAAAATAACTGAAATATACTCGTTCCACTTGCAAGAAAAAATAAAAATGAAATAAAATTGTATTGAATGTTGTGAGATTGTGTTGCGCAGCGCTTGCGTTAGCAAAGAGAAAGTAGTAAAACTGCTTACACTACTAAAATGGTACGAATACGAACGTACAACAAACGACGAACGTACAACAAACGACGAACAGCAACAAACAGACGGACGGAAATGTATCAAAACAAAAAATTATAAAAATATATATATAATTGAGATTGGGAGCAATATGTTGCTGATGTTGTTGTTGTTGTGTTTTAATCAAAACATCAAACAAAACATGATACGGTAGTGAGAGACAGTGAGAAAATCGCTTAATGAGTATTAAGGAAAAGTGTTGCCATATTATGCATATAATTTGTTAAGGAATCCTAATTGGATTCCATAAAAAGCATTAACTGTCATTACTTAAAGATCTCGTAGGTTCTAAGTTAGCAGATACTTTGTGAATGAATGATTAAAGTAGTTCTTCTTAACTGACAAGATGTCGAAGTGCTTTACATGAACACCTGCTTTGACGGCTAAATTTCGCAGTAGTCTTTTTCATCCACAGGCTGAGCTTTTTTGACGACTCACTACATACCCTTTATGTATCTTACATGCCGGTGGCAACTTTTGTACATGGTTCTGCTGGGCCATGTACAAGCACTTTTCTGAAGTACTCGAGCTATATAATCTCTGACCATTGCTGCCCAGTTGCTTAACATCCGAGGTGCAAAAGCATAATTTCCGTTTACAACAACGAAAATGGGATGACCTCTGTTGAGTCGGCAACAGCACCTAGAGTTGTAATCGGTAAAACAAAATACGAATCCATGAAATAAGCCGAGGAGTTGTTCTTACTCACTGGAATACACTGTGGCAAATCTGGTATGAGCGGAGTAAACCCTGAACATACCCGGACAAAGAAGGAAAATTTATTTGTATAACTTGTATAAGATACCTTACATCCATTACCATTCAACCCAGCACACTTCTTATTCATCCGACATACTCCTCTGTGGGGTATCTATTGTCTCGGCAATAGCACCGAACTTTAAAGACGTATCAGTCTTTTATAAACATTCTCCTAGCAACCACGTTCATCCCGAAGGACCCTCTCAATTAACGGGGACAAGACATAGTCCGAAACTCTGCCCAGTGGGCTACCGGTTCCCGTGGTACCGGATTATGTAGTTCTTTGGTTCGACCCCATGTCAAATCATTTCAAGGAAAGGTCGAGGATACATTTGATCATCACCAGTTTATATTCCCGGCAGACTGGAGGTACTGGTAGCACCTCTTTTCCCGGGATTGCAATAACACCGTGATGGGGCAAGTTCATCATTGTAACATGCCCCCGGAGGATCTTATCTGACACGAATGTCGAGTGCTTGACATGAACACCTGCCTTGACGGCCTTATTTCACAGTGGTTTTTTCCATCCACTGGGTAGACTAGAGACGGTCTACCACGCGCTCCCTGAATCCTTCTATAAAGAACTCAGGTGGCAATTTTTGTACATGGCTGAGCCAGTCCATGTACAAGCACTTTGCTGAAGAACTCGAGCTATCTAATCTCTTGACATAGTAGCCCCGTTGTGGAATGACAGGCAGCATGGGATCAATCCCAATGCAAACCGCGACAAGAAAAAAGCAATCACTAGTCTAAAGTTAATATAAGGGGCGACAAACCCCAAGATCAGGTGAAATCAATCTTCCCATCAACTAATGACCCATTCCAGTGCATTCCTTAAGCTCTTAAAGACAGCGCAACCACACTACTGAGATGGCTCTGTTGATTCGGCAACAGCACCTAGAGAGTCCGAAATACCCAGCCAATAAATCTGGATCCCTCTGTATGTCAGATAATGTGACAAAGGATGTAGAAATTTCCAAAGTCAATTCGAACCCAATAATTGCCCCGACGAGTTGAGGGAACGGCTCTCAACCATAAGTCGCGTAGCATGAAATAATATGAATCCTGTTGAGATGGCAACAGCACCTAAAACTTCTCTAAAGTAAAAGATCTACTAAATCAGTACTAGTCTCCTGTCGGGCAGAGGAGTCTTTCCCGATCCTTCACCAATTACATCAGTTCCATTCTCAGAATATAAAGAGCGATCTACGGAATGACAGACAACTACCAAGTGTCAACCTGAAAATTCCCCAACTTATACTGGAGCCCGACTACGCGAAGAGTAAGAGATACTCAACGGGTTCAGGAATCCAGCATAAGTTGCTCTTTCACATCACCTAGTGACATCTGTTGAGATGGCAGTGGCACCGGAGAGAGAATCCAGGCATATTTGGTATTTGGATATATCAGTCCTTGAATCAACTTTCTCTCCCCGCGAATTTGGGTATAAACTACAGCCACTACGTGGATCCCGAAGTAACCTCAACAAACTGACCAGCCAGGACAAGTCCTGCGGGCAACTGGCCACCCGCAGTGTCAGATTATATGGTACTCTGGTTAGACCATATGTCAAATCATTCCAAGGAAAGGCCGAGGATACATTTGATCATCACCAGTTTATAGTCCCGGCAGACTAGAGGTATTGGTAGCACCCCTTTTCCCCGGGATATTGCAATAACACCAAGGTGGAGATTTCACCAAGGTAACATGCCTTCGGGGGAATCTTATCTGACAGTGAACTGTCAATTGTTATTGCTAAACAAGATCGAGATATTCCTGATCTTTGTACAACTGTGATATATAACTGTATTTCAACATATCTGCTGACGTACGAATGTCGACTTCTTTAAACGAAGTATAGAAACATTCGAGTTTGGTTCCCCTAGAAAATTTTAGTACGTCAAGATGGACATAGTATGGTTTTTGGTGACATGTTTTAAGTTACTTTTTAACGAATATTCAGTAAGTTAGAAGGCCCTACTACGACTATCAAAAGTGAATTCAGACATTTTTTAGGTATTTTTTATATTAGGTATGGCAATACTCTGTTGCTCTATAAATTTACACCATCTGCTTTCTCATTCTCTGCTTCTCTCCGGTAATGTTTTCTTGTTTTTTTTTTTCATTTCTGTGTGCAAATTCTCTTTTTTATTATTATTTATTTTTTTTCCGTCAAGCTTCTTCTTTATTTTGTTTGTTCGCTTGGTTGGGTTCTTGTTTTACTTGCTGGTTGGGGTACTCGCTCCGCAATGCTCAGTTTAGCTCAGAGCTACGAGTAGTACTACTACTACAACTACTCACCACTGCTTTGCAATCGTTGTTTTTTCTTTGGTTTTCGCAACTCAGAGTGATTCATAACATCGACGTATACGGACACCAGTTACGGAAAGACAACCGAACCTCGTTGTTATTTTTCCATTTTTTAGTTTAATAATAATACAAAAAAACAACAACACTAAATAAATAATAATAAAGCAGCACAATAACAACAACAACGACTACAACAAAAACTACAAGAGTAGAAAAAAGTAGTTATTGCTGTTTTTTTGTTTAATTTAAAAGTGTTTTCTCGAGGTGACACAGAATATTTTTCTTCTTTTTTTTAACTTAACGGTCGTCGTCGTATATTGAGTCCTCCTTTGCTACATCTGACTCCTCTTCTTTGCCACCAGTTACACTGCTGCACACTTACATTTCTCTATATGTTTGGGTGTGTGTGTGAGTTTGTGTGAAAAATAGCTCCGGTTAATAATTAACAAAAATATACCAAAAGTGTCGTCGTAATTTTTATAACGCCGCGCTTTGTAACATTATAAATATGAATTAATTTGATCAAAAAAGAAAATAGTTGATATTACTCATACGCCTACATGTTTTGTGGTCCTTTTTGTTTGAAGAAAAGCCTTTGGCTGTCGGTGTTTTTCTATATGCGAGAAAAGAAATATGCTTTCTTCACTTAACGGGTTAATTGTTTATAATAAGAAAGTTTTGAAAATTAATAAATAAAACAAATTAAACTAAATATTATGTGTGTAACATGCTAAATAAAAACTAGATTTTGTTTATAACAGCTGTAAGTGAATTTTTTATTTTTCATATTTTCATTTAATTTATTTCGTTATATTTTTATTTTATTAATAAATAAAACATGCCACATATACTTATTTCGTTTTTAGTTTATTGTTAATTTTTTATATTCTTCAATAAAACAAAAATTTCAATAAAAAAAAAAACAAATTCAACAATATTGATAAATTAACCTTCGTTATCTCCATACAAATACAAATATTTCATTCTATATACAAATACCAACAAACTTGTTTGTGTATATACTACAATAACCCAACAACATTATTGGCTCACACTGGGAAACCATTTAGCAGAGACATTGTGAAATTTTGACAATTTTAAATTCTGATTTTTTTTTTTAAATTTAAGAAATAAAAATCTTATAAATCTAAAATATTATGAAATTAAATTGTATAAAAATTTGGAATTATTTATTCGTTTCAATTTCTTTGCTTTCAACATTTGTTTGCTGGGTTAAATTCAAGTTTATTTTAAATACATTTTACGGATCTGTTCTGCTATTCTTTAGGGAATTATACTTGTTTATAGTTCATAAAATATGGGAAATTTACGGATTTTGACACATGTTTATTGACAAATGTGATATTAATTTAATAGTGCCTATCAGTCTTAACTATTTTTTTTAGCAAAAATGTCTATCATCAGAGCTTTTTTTAATTTATGTACGTAAGTAAAGGAAAAGTTAATTTTCCAGAAGGACCAAACACAAGAAGTTTAATGTTCAGTAATTCCGCTTAGATCTGGCTGAATACTGGTGATATCGCGAATATTTATTGACATTCCCTCTAGATTATTTTTCTTATCGAGTTGTAGTACTTGTCATCTTTTCAGGTACGCTGCAAGAATAATTCTCCAAATTCACTTTACATAATTCATAATTCATTTCCTGCTAGAGAGGATGAAGATTGATTCGCTGAAGTATCCTTGCAGCGTTGGTTGTGTTTAAGAGGTTAAAAAGGGTTGTGCTCCACTCGGAAGTCCTTTGTGATTCCCTTCAGAGATATTGACGAATCATTAATAGAGAATATATGAGAATATAATTAAGAATCCACCGGGTTCCTTAAAATAAGTAGATGGATTCAGATGCCGAAAGAATAAAATTGTCATTAATGATCAGATTCGGATGGCCACTGAGGTCAGGCCATTATGATTTCCTTTAAGAAAAATTAAGAATCAAAATAAGAATGATTAATGATCAGAGCCCTCACTATAGTATTAAATCTTAACGGCTAATACCCCTGATAAAATCTAGTATACTACAAGGGTTATACCCTGCGATATCTCTTATTTCGTCGTAGAACCTATTTCATAGCCATTTCAGTCAGAGTCGTTGTATTATAGGACAGTGGAAGATGAGGTGTTCAACTATCTCTGGACCTTAGATACTGTGAAATACATTCTACAATTCTAGGACTCATTGATAGTAACAAATGGTTGGTTTTAACCTCCTGTCTCTTTCATGTGGATTAAGATTTGAACCTAATCTTGTCAGTTCGTTAGATACCTCATTGCCAGGTAACAGTCTTATATTAACGGTACCTATAAACGGGAAACAAAGAATTAACGATAGTTGGTGACAAGAAAAGGTTGAAACTATCTGAGGCTCAAACATTTAAAGGCTCATTTTTATGGGAAATAACTGTTCAATGTTTTTGACGCAAGAAGGCTTTTGGATCATATCAAATCACTTCTACATTTTCAGTGCATTGTGTTGGAACGAGGTTCCAGGTAGTAGGGCTAAGAAAGGAGTTTTGTGTGACCCACTGGTTAATTCATCAAAAATGGGCGTGTTCTTTAGCATAGACGAATGTTGCATATAAATCTACAAGTAGAGCGAACAAATTCCCTAAATTCAGAGGAACACACTGTATTGTAATATTGATAAACACCTTCGCCCTCCACCCTGTACGCAGTTGAGTAACTTCGTAATAGTCTTTGAAGCTCCAGCCCACACATGGGAGTTTGTTCGGATATAAGTGGTTAAAATAATAAGTTGTTCAGTTGGATTGAAGAATATCTTCATCGGTTTGAAAAACCAAGGCACTTGAATGTTCCGTTCGATATTTGAAATATGTGTTCAGATTAAGAGACATTTGTAACTAGAGAGAATAAGGACTGATGCAATATTTTAACTTTTTGGTGATCTAAAGAGCTCCAAACCATAATATGGTTACTTGAAACCATAATATGGTTATATGAAACTATAATATGATTACTTGAAACCATTATATGGTTACTTTAAACAATAATGTATTTTTTTTTAAACAATAATAAGATTACTGGAAACCATTATATGATAACATGTAACCATTATATACTTACTTGAAACTATAATATGATAACTTGCAACCAAAATATTATTAATTTAGACCATATTCTGACATTGTTATGATCTTATTGGGCCATAATATGAAGGTACAATATCACCTTATGATTAATAAAACATAATATTTAATCATAATATGATAACGTATTATGTTAATAATGATCATAATATGATATTTTTTGATACTAATAATGATCATAATATGTTTTAACTTTAAACACAACTCTAACCATAATATGTTACTCTTAGATGCTTACCATAACCATATTTTTTCTCTACATGTGGATACCCATCATTCCTATTGGACTCTTTTCCTATTGGCCCTTCTTTTCTTTCCTATGAATTCAAAATTTTCCCTAATATAAACAGAGAGATTGTTTTGTTTTTGGAATGGAAATGTTAATAGCTGAAAAATCTTGATTCATTTTACGATTTTTTTACATTCGATTTAATCTTTTCTATATTGTATGTGAAAGACTTTGGCAAATCGGGCTAAGATCATTAATAATGGACATTCACAATATTTTTTGCCGTATTTTCTTTTTTAAATAACACTACTTTCTAAGTATCTATTGGTCTTTGGCGACCTAAATTGGTGACATCAAAACACGAATTTATTTGTCGGTCTGTTTTATTTAGTTGTCAATTAAATTATATTTTCATTGGCACACAATGAATATTTGATTAAAGAAATCAAAATCATCAATTCTGTGTGCTCGATTAAAAGGAGTTTAAAACAACTGCGGCAAGTCAAAGGCTTTGTTAGTTTAGCATATAATAAAATAATTATAATCAAAAAGTTAAATGATCATTTAAATGCTTTTATTATAATAAAAAATATGAACTAATTGATGTTACACTTTGACTTCATAAACAAAAATAGTTCCAATTTTGCGTTGCAAAAATTCACTTTAAATGACTTAGACTTCACAAAACTTTATATTAATAGTAACTTTGTTTGGATCATCAGCCCTTTTCTCCATGTAGTAAATTTACTAAAGTTATTTTTACTACTTGGGTAGTGTAACTATTTAAAAAAATAATTATTATTGCTTGTAATTTGTCTTAATATTGAAATCACACTCCTAAAATACCAACTAGTATTTCAATACGGGTGTGGTCTATTAAAAACGAAATGTCAATAACTATAAATAACATTTGGTCAGTCTGCCCAGCCATTGAGACAGTCAGGCCAGACCGTCCATTATTACTTTTTTTCGTATAGGTATGGTGTAAAATTTCTGTTATTTATTTTTTGCTCTCTACAATAAATTTAGGATTGTTAAAAAAAATATAAAAGAAATTACCTTTTCTTGTTTGCCGGCCTGATGATGACGCTGGTAAACATTGAATATTTGCGCCATTCGTTTATTTTTGTTTCGCATAATAATTGGAATAATTGCCATAAATTTATTTTACTTTTATACATATATTTTTGTGAGTTTGCAAGTTGATAGATAAATGTATCATATTCAATTTATTTGGCCGGTTGGTTTTCAATTTAATTGTTTTTGTTTGTTTATTTTACTCTACTTGTTGTCTTTATTATTTGACATAAACTTTGTACTCTTGACGTTTTTTTTTATTTTTTTATTTTGCTGACAACTTTCATATGAATTTGTTTTCAACATCATTATTATCTTGCTGAATTGTCGTTAATTATCATTGTGATATCAATAACTAAAGAGCAGGTTGCATTAAACAGCAACAATCAAATCAAGTACCAACAATATTAACGAGAGAAAGAGAGAGTACAAAAAGAAAAACAAAAACTCATTAAACCGTCACACAAACATATTACATTGCAAGTTGTACAACATATACAACATCAGCAATAGCAGTATGCAATGTCTTTTTTGTTAAATTTCCATTTTGAAGTTTTTGCTTTACAACCTCATCCTTTTGTATAATGTTCATTGTATGTTGTTCCAACAGACATAGTCAAGAGTTGAAGTCATTGGAATTATAGAGCATTGAAAACAGATATTATTGGGGGCAAAAAAGAATCAGATTTCTTTATAAAATCTTTAAAATAATGCCTGATAAATGTGCGGTTCTAATGATTACAGTAGCAAATACTTCAAGACCTTGGATATTGCAAAAGGATAATCGTTAGATATCGATATTTCCGTTCCCGACTGGTTGTTCTATAAGTGGTAGGTTAGAATCTGTTTCTCTTATAGTCGTATAGTTAACGTGACCCTGTTAGTTAAATTATGTTTGATTTTAATTTGGAAATGCATTTTAATAACCGAATCCGAACCCAATGTAGGCGTCTTATAAATATTTTGTATATGACATGGTGTAGGGGTGGATCAATATTCTCTGACGATACAGTATTATTACTATAGTAAGTAGTTAAAGCCCTGAGTTTTAAGCCAAAGTATTAGAACTCCAAATTGTTGAAGACCGTGACATTTTCTTTAAAAATCTGCCGGAAATCCAATTAAAAACTCTAGCTCGACATTCTTGTGGCGAAGTCTTGTTAAAAACATACATATGTCGTCCAATTCAGGCAAGATGTCGAAGTGTTTTACGTGAACATCGCCGTGTCGGCCTTATTTCACGGTGGTCTTTTTCATCTACAGGGTGTGCTTCTTTGACGCCTCACCACCGCCCCCTTTGTATATCTTACACGCATGGTTCTGCCGGTCCATGTACAAGCATTTTGCTCAAGTACTCGAGCTATCCAATCTCTGACCATTGCTGAACTTAGAATGTTAGAATGCAAAAACATAACTTCCATTTACAACCACGCAGATGGGATGTCCCATGTGAAGTCGTCAACTGAACCTAGAGCCGTATTCGGTAGACCGAAACACGAATCCATAAATTAAGCCGAGGACTGTGGTAAGTCTGGTATGAACAGAGTTTTCTCTGAACATACGTGGACAAGGAAGGAAAATTTAATGGTATCACTTGAATAAGATACCTTTCATTCATTCACTCGACACACTCATAGAGAACAGCATCCGACACACTACTCTAGGTATACGGGCGGGTAAGATCCGTATACCCCTACATTCATCCTGTATCATATACACTTAACACCAGCTCATTACCAACGCTTAGTCCCACAGTCACTCCTCTGTTGGGTATCTGTTAAATTCGGCAACAGCACCGAACTTATCCAGAATTATAGATTTCATCGTGCATCAGCCTTTTAACCGATATTCTCGGGAATTTTGGTTTAAACCAAAGCCACCAGGTGTACCCCGAAGGAACCTCTCCAATAACCAGGCAAAATTGTTCATAAAGTGACGTGGACCGATGACGCCTCCGCCTTCGAACGATGTTGTATTTTTTGAAATTTTCACGTGTTGACGTACGGTATATACGTTTAAATTCGTCAGACCATTCGAGAATCGGACATTTATCTTGGTACCTTAGAATATGACAGAGTCTGCAGAAATTTTTGATGCAACCATTTAAATTTTTTCAATTGTTTCATTCATTGTCTTTGGGATTTTATACAGGTTTTCAAAAGCTGTTGGATAAACAACATTAATGCTCCGATTATATATGGCAACCGAACTTCCGTTGCGTTGCCACTTTCAAAATAGGAGAATGCTTTCAGTCTAGAAATGGTTCAGGTCAACCAAAAACTCATTGGACGAATATTATTAATGAATAAAACATTCATTATAATGATGTCTCCAAGCTAATCGACCCATAAAATTAAGCATTCCAGAACTGTACATCTATTTTGTCACCTTAAAGAAGAGGATCTAAAGGAATTTGTAAGTCAACTACCAATTCGTTTCAATGTTCCATTTGAAATTCGTTATAAATTCCAATACACATATTAAATTTTTACAACGGATCGGTACTTAATCGCTTAACGATGTCCAAAGAGGATCTGACCGAATCTTTTAAATTTGAAATTTTTCAATATTTTTGATTTAGAGATCAAAATTGCTTCAATAATTAAAAAATTTTCTTTGAGTCGTTTTTAAAGAGTTCCTACTTAAATCTTTTAAATATCTATATGGATCTGAGGACTCGAGTAATCTAAAGTGCTTAGATCAAAGCAAAATTTAGAAATTATTAGAAAAGTGGTTCGGTCGGTTTCCTCCGGGAGAAATCCTAAAGAAAATTAATAACTTAAAGAAAACCTAACATTCCACAAAAACAACATTAAAGACCTATTAGCAACTTTATAATAACTAAACGTCAGACTGTAGGTGTAAATTAAGCCATGCAGAGACAGAGACACAGAAAAGCAACAAAAATCATTGTGGAACACAAGTATGAGATGATGAAAAAAAAGGTTTATATGTTGGCTGTTGTTTGCAGCTGTTTGGCCGGCTGACTGGATGGATGGATGAATGGTTAGTTGGTTGACTGGCTTACTGGGTGTTTGATTGTATAGATTTTGTTTGTTTTGCCTGAATGACGAACGACTGATTGTGTTACCGCCCGGTCTGGTTAATACAATCAAAGTACATGTACAAAACTACAGTTGTTTTTTTCCTTTTTAACGAGGTGTAATTGCAAAGGCTGTTTTATGAAATTGAAAAGAACTTGTACAATTTACATGGTTATAAGGACTTTTCAGATGGCTGTCGTTGGTTTTATTTAGCTTTTTCTGCCAAACAAACCGGCTTTTGTGAAACTTTTTTAAGTTTTTTTGTTTGTTTGTTATGAATTTGTCTGCTGTTTTTTTGCCGATTTCTCTCTTCTCTTGTACTCTATGGTGTTTTAAAATTGTAATAAGAAGAAGCTAAATAAAAACAATGCTGTTTTTTTTTTGTATTTCTGGGGGACTTTGCAACAATAAAAGAGACTCTGACTCTGTTGCTAATGTTTATTTACAAATAATGTATCTCTTTGGCATGAAGATTTTGTTGTTTTTGGTGTAGGTTTTGTGTTGTTGTTAAATTTGATTCGGCGCAGCTTTCAAAAACCTTTTTTTGTAATTTTAGTTACTTTTTTCTATATTCTTTTAAATAGTGACGTTGTTTCTTGATTTTGTTTCACTTTTTTTTTGCTAGTGTTTTACGGGGGGCACTGGGGGTTAAGGGGTTTTGTCATGTTGTTGTTATGAGCTTTTTTGGGGTTTTCTGTTGTAAATATTTTCAACATTTTTATAAAAAATTTCATACATTTTTCTTATATAAAATATAAAATACAAAATTTTAAATGTATTTTTTTCTTTGGTGTTTCGCGTTTCTTTTAACTTTTTAGCATACTATGTATATAGCATTGCACCTCACCCCAACTGAAATTTGTTTAAACGTACAACAAAAACACACATTTTATTTTACATTAAATTTAAATTAAAACGAAATGTGTAAAGAAAAATGTTTGTTGTGCAAACCGTCTGTGTGTGTGTGTGTGTTTGCATTAGAAAGTTGCGAAATCTAAATGTATTTTCCTTCAACTTTTTTTTCTCTACAAACAATTTTACGTCAAGAATTTTTTTGCCTTTATGATGAAAGAAGAAAAAAGAAAATATGTGCATGAGTATTTGAAATTTTTTTTAGCACGAATTTACATAAAATTGTTTGCAGCCTACATATTTTTATATTTCTTTTTTTTCGAAAAATATTTTTATGCAATCATAATTTTAGGTGTTTTTAATTTTTTTTGTTTGTTTTCATTTTTAGCCGGTTCGATGATTTGAAAATTTGTTAGCAAAATTTCTATAAAAATAATTTTGTGTCTCTTTAGCTATTTTTAAAATGTTATAAAATTAAATTTGACCAATATTTTCTGTTTTGCTATAATGCAATGCAAATGGAAAGCATCAGACGAGATTGATTGTGTTAAGTATTTTTAGCAAATATGTATTTGCCTTTTTAGGGGGTGGTGTGGTAGGTGTCTAGATAAATTTCAGGTGACTAAAGACACTTAACAGATATCTCTTAGTAGGAGGTAATTTTTAGCAATATATTCCTGGGAGGTGGGAAAATATTTAACCCAATGATTCAGTATCTTAGGCGGAAATTATATTTTAATAAGTTGTGTAAACAAATTCATAAGATATTTAAAAATTTTGTAAATTTTTATAAAAAACTACATATCTAGAATCTATCTATCTATCTATCTATCTATCTATCTATCTTACTCTATCTCTATCTATCTATCTATCTTCTATCTATCTATCTATCTATCTATCTATCTATCTATCTATCTATCTATCTATCTATCTATCTATCTATCTATCTATCTATCTATCTATCTATCTATCTATCTATCTATCTATCTATCTATCTATCTATCTATCTATCTATCTATCTATCTATCTATCTATCTATCTATCTATCTATCTATCTATCTATCTATCTATCTATCTATCTATCTATCTATCTATCTACTATCTATCTATCTATCTATCTATCTATCTATCTATCTATCTATCTATCTATCTATCTATCTATCTATCTATCTATCTATCTATCTATCTCTATCTATCTATCTATCTATCTATCTATCTATCTATCTATCTATCTATCTATCTATCTATCTATCTATCTATCTATCTATCTATCTATCTATCTATCTATCTATCTATCTATCTATCTATCTATCTATCTATCTATCTATCTATCTATCTATCTACTATCTATCTATCTATCTATCTATCATCTATCTATCTATCTATCTATCTATCTATCTATCTATCTATCTATCTATCTATCTATCTATCTATCTATCTATCTATCTATCTATCTATCTATCTATCTATCTATCTATCTATCTATCTATCTATCTATCTATCTATCTATCTATCTATCTATCTATCTATCTATCTATCTATCTATCTATCTATCTATCTATCTATCTATCTATCTATCTATCTATCTATCTATCTATCTATCTATCTATCTATCTATCTATCTATCTATCTATCTATCTATCTATCTATCTATCTATCTATCTATCTATCTATCTATCTATCTATCTATCTATCTATCTATCTATCTATCTATCTATCTATCTATCTATCTATCTATCTATCTATCTATCTATCTATCTATCTATCTATCTATCTATCTATCTATCTATCTATCTATCTATCTATCTATCTATCTATCTATCTATCTATCTACTATCTATCTATCTATCTATCTATCTATCTATCTATCTCTATCTATCTATCTATCTATCTATCTATCTATCTATCTATCTATCTATCTATCTATCTATCTATCTATCTATCTATCTATCTAACTATCTATCTATCTATCTATCTATCTATCTATCTATCTATCTATCTATCTATCTATCTATCTATCTATCGTCAAGTTTTAGTTTCCAATCAATTACACCCTAACCGATTATGTATTTTGAAATTTTTGGGGTTTAGACGTGTAGAATCCCCATGTCCAGTCAAGGGCCTGCAAAGCAGACCGGGCACCACTAGTTTTTAAATAACATTTCTGACTTAGGTCTTAAACTGCTTCAAAATTTCTTTTAGTATAATTATAATAAATATCTTGTTATTTATTCATTAGAATTAATTTAAAATCAAAATTTCTCACACACAGAATATATTTTTAATCTTTTTCTTTTCTTTATCTTTCCTTCTCTTTGCAGTTTTTATTCATTTCTTTTGATTTGGTTTCAAACACTAATGAATTGAAAAATTAGTCTTACACAATAACAAAAATAAAATTTAAATCTTTATAATAAAATAATAATAAAAAATTGATGTAAATAGTTAAACAAAAAATAGCAACTACAAAAATATAAATGCAACAAATAAAAAATTAAAAAAAATTTGTAATTTTAAGCAAAAAATTAAAAAAAAAAAATAAATTCTATCACAAAATAGAATGAGAATTGTATAAAAAAAATTGAAAAATTTGATAAAAAGAAAATTAAGAAAAAAAAAACAAAAAATTGCATACAAACTGTTGTAAGTAAACACAAATGAAAACGTCGTCGAATTCAAGTGCAAATAATTTCGACTACTCAAGTCGCCCCGTCTATGAGAGTGAAGAAGAAGAACTACAACAACAGCATCAGCAACAACAACAGCAACTAGTAGAGTTAAACGAAAGTCAAGCAGCAGAAAGTAGACAACAAATCATTTACGATACAAGAACGTTAAATGAACCAGAAACAGAAGCAGAACGTGAAGAATTCGTTGATACAGAACCACAAAGTTTGATTAAACACCAACAAAGAGAAAGAGAACCACAAACAACAATTGTTTTTAATACAAAACAGCAAAACTCCTCTTCAAGAGCATTATCACCAACATCATCATCAACAACAGCATCAGTCAAACCATCGACAACTATCTTTGTTGAAGATTACAATCAGCTTCAACAACAATTTGTTGATAATTTAACAATAAAAACTAAAACTATTGTTGCAGCAGCTGATAGTGAAAGTGAAAATCTGTCACAGCAACAACAAGAAGTAAAAACTAATAATTTGAATTCAAATTTACAAATTAGTTCATCAACAGTTGCTGGTGGCAACAATAATAATAATAATAGTGGTAGTGTTGTTATTTATATAGACGACAATAATTCAACTAGTGATAACAACAGCAATAATAACCGTAGCAGTAGCGACATTGCAACTCATACTTACAGCAGCAGCAACAACAACACCACAAACAGCAGCACTAGCAATAAAATTTCTAGCGTTAACGACGTAAAAGAAACATCTGCAATATTGTCAAATAATATTCGTTATTCAACATCATCAGCAGCATCTAAGAATAGATATCAGCAGCAACAGCAACAGCAACCTTTGTCACTGCAGAAGAGTTATTCTTTTAAACGAAAACGAGAAACAACAGGTAAGTTTTAATTTTTCTTTTGAATTTCGTAAAATTTAGATCAGTCATGGAAAATTTAGTACTATTGTAGGTCAATACTTTTTGACATCTCGAAAATTTCTCACTATGACATATCAACATTTCACGTGAAATATGTTACTTTTTTCGTTCACTAACTTTTTTACGTGAAAAAATTTCCTCTGTTGTTGAAATTTTAAAAACAATGAACAGCTGTTGCAAACAAAATCGATTATTGTGAATGAATTGTTTATGGAAATTTCACGATAGTTAATATCCCTTCGAGTGGAATGAAAATTTCAAGAAAAACAAAGTTTTTACTTTGTGGCGATAGTGTAGATTAAAAACTTTCATCTATAGGATAGTCCATAAACAAGCGAATGGACTAGTAAGAAGATTACTTCATTGACTAGTTCATAGACTAGACCATGTACTACTTTAGACTAGTCTAAAAACAAATTAATAGACTATTTCAACAGACTAATTCATGGACTAGCCAATAAACCAATCTGTTGACTAGTCTATTGATTAGTTGATTGGCTAGACCAATCAGTAGAATACTGAAAAAGGAAATAAAAATGGCAAACTGTAACTCAGCGATTTCTTGACAGATCTTGTTGAAAAATTCTCCAATATGACTACCCTTTGAGCAAATTTAATTCTTACCGAAAGATATCGAAGCTAAAGAGCTGAAATTTGGACAGGAGATCTACCACCAAGTAGACAGGATTTTTGGAAATTCGAATGTAAAAACATTACTAACTGACTGATTCATCGAAGCACAGCCTAAACAGTTTAAGCTAAAACAGCTAAAATTGGGATAGGAGATTGGTCTACCACCAAATAGATCCTCTAAGACAGGATTTTAGTAAATTCGAATGTAAAAACAGGTAAATTCGGTAACCTAATATCTCCTAAACTACAAAAGATACAAAAACAGTTTAAAGCTTTTTGACTTTAGCACCATTTTGATATTCGTACGTTTAAGGGGTGAAAATTGTACTCATTTTCGGTACTTTTTGCACAAAACATATATTGGGCTTCCACTTCCTTATTTTTGGAATAAAATGTTTATTACTTCAACAAGGAGAAAAAGTACTAAAAGGGGGAAAACGGGAAATTTGATTTTATTCAAACTCATTGATACAATTTTAATAAAATTGGAGAAATTTGTAAATTTGGTAACATTAAATATGCTAATGGGATATTACTTGGAACTCCGCCACAAAGGACTATTTTTTTTTTTTGTACTTTTTCGTTTTTAGCTGGTACTTTGTGTGTTTTATAATATTGATTCTACACTCATGAAATTAAACATGAAGTTAATGAAAGTCTATAAAAGACAGATTGTTTGGTACTTTTTGAGTTTATTTTTATATTATTGAACTTAGAAATTAAGCGTGCAGACCCCTGAATAAATGAGAACCTTTAACAGGGGACTTTTAGGTAATTTTTCTTTTTTCAAATGTACTTTTTGAATTTTCTATAATATTGAACCTAGAAACATGAAATTAAGCATGTAGATAGAAAACCTACATAAGGAGACTTTTTGGTACTTTTTCGTTCTTTAACTGATACTTTTTGAGTTTGTATAATATTGAAGCAGACTTGGTATAGCTAGTTGTAAAACTAATTTTCGTTATTAAATAATCTTCTGATTAAGAAGAACGTTCAAATTGATTCCTCTCGCGAGAGAAATTATTTCGAGCGAAATAATTTTTATACTTTGTGGTGAAAATTTCCTTTTTTCGGGAATTTAAATAATAAATGCCACGAGAGATATTTACATTTAAAGAACTGAAGTTTATCGTTATCGAATGCTATCATTAGATATTTCGATACTTTTTATTCGTTATCGAATAAGAGAATCCAAAAAGTAAAAAAACTCGTACGATCGAATATAAATTCGAACATATACGAATGTGAGAATTAGTCCCCTGTTTGTTTTAATTTATTTCGTGAACGAAACTAAAAGAACAAAATGGTTAGATTCTCTCATGATGCGAATATTGAAATGAAAATCTCGTGAAAATTAGTTTTATAACGAGTTAAATAAATAGAAATACTTAAATAAACTATTAGTTACGAATGCGAAATTTTCTTACTCATTAAAAAAATCGCCCTAAAAACGATTTTAATTTTGAAAATATGCTTTAAATCTAGCTTAACTTATGGTTAGTTCTAATATTAAATTAAGGCAATTTTGCGATGGATCTTTAACGTTAATTAATATTCGCCAATTTTATGGGCAATATGGAACAATTTATTCGTTGTTCTTAAAGCTAATTGCATTTAAAATGTAATAAAATATATTTGGCTTTTGGTTTGCACATTTTGCATAAACTTAACTACACAAAAAGAATTACAAATTTATTTATTTCTTTTTCTAGTACCAGTAGATTTTTAATTAAAGAAAGTAAAAGTAAAATATGTTTTAACACACTTGCTAATAGGGGTTTTCAATTTCAACTCCTGGGCTTGGGGTTTACTTGAAAAGTTTTCCCAGGAATTCTCGAATATTCGCGAAAAGTAATTGTTTTCAAGTAATTTTTATAAAATACCAAATTATTTAAACTAAAAGTTGTATATCTATGAAAAATTTTGCAAAATGTGAGAAATACTGGAAAAGGGGAGACAACATGAGCAAATGAGTGAAGAATTTAGGATTTTTGGGGAAAAAATCGCGAAAATTTTGAATAGAAGCAAATTTATACTTTATAGAAAAGTGGTTTGCTCAGGTTTCTTAATAGATTTGAAATATTTCATTTTTCCTACAAAAAAGGGAAAATGAAAAAAATCTTGGAAATTTCCTGGATAAAAACCCTACTCTCCCAATACTTCTACGTCATGAATGGCCAAAAGACGTCAATAGTGCGCCAGATGAAAACAAAAATTTATTGTTATTAACCTCAACAAATAGTAAAATAAATTTCAAAAACAAAAAGTACGAACATCTAAGTATAAAAAAAACCCAACAAATACTAAATTTTTGCGTAACATCTTTTTTGTAATAAAAGTGAATTGCAGTAAATAGAATATTTTACGTCTTTTTGAGGTTCCAGTGAATAAAAAAAAGAAAATAAACTACGAAAAAAGGGCAGACAGGCAGGTGGAATGAAGGACAGACAGACGTTATAACTATAATGAATTTGACTTTATGGGAAGAAAGAAAAAACTTAAAAATTAAAACAATAAAATAGTAGAAGATAAAAATTAAACAATAATATAAAATATAATTTATAAGGCGTAATAAACAAAATAACAACTAGGGTTTTTTAACTTGTTGTTGTTGAATTTTTTTTTTTGGACAGACGTACATACATATTTAGAGGCCAGACAGAGACAGAGAGTGAATTATATTTATTTACAAAAAATAACAACAAAATAATAACAAATAGTTATTTCCAAAAAAAAGCACAAAAAATAGACGTCAATAAAAGTGGAGAAGAAAGACACAGGAAAAATTAAAAATAAATAAACTTACGAATGAAAACAACATGACTGGCTAGAGATTAAAAAGTATTAACAAAACAATTTTAAAAAGTACAAAATGAAAACAACCACAACAACTTGAAAATAAGTACAAAATAAATATTTAAAATATTAAAAAAAAAACAAACTGATAGCAGGGGCATAAATTTAAATATTAACAGCAACTACGACAACAATAAAGACAATAAACAAATTTAAATAAACAACAAAAACAACATCATAAAAATTTTTATAAAAAAAAGAACCTTAATAATGCAAAAATTGGAATATTTAATAAAAAGAATTATTTAAATAATGGTGTTTTTATGTTATCAACAAAAATAATTGTTATTAAGAGTCGAGCGCATGTTATTTTGTCTGCTTATTAGGGTGGTTATTTTATTTTGGGTTAAATATTTGAAGGCATATGATTCAAGTAAAATCGGAAGATAAATGCTTTGGTTATCGGTTGTTTAACTATTGGTCTCTGTGAATCCGTATTGGGACTCAAAAAACGTCATATTTTTAAAGTTGACAGCATGGACTTTCAGATGTCATACAACATTTTATAAATAAAGTTACCTTGGCGCTGTCACAACGATTCAAAAAGGGCCAAAAAGGTCGTTTTTTGAAACTTCAGGACATGATATCTCAAATTGAACATGTGATAAAGATTGGGTGAGATTCGTATTCAACGTGGTTCAATTCTTTAGAAAACTACACAGAAAGAAAACTGGTAGTAGTAGAAACCGTTAGTAAAGTACCGAAATTGATACAATCCGTTGTCAAAAGTAAGCTTATCACGTTTGTTAGCATTTAGACAACGGATGTGTATAAAATTTAAATAACACCCAGTTATCATTTTGACAACCACCGCTGTAATTTTGAAAACGCATCGTTGTCATTGCAACAACGCATTGTTGTCATTTCGATTACGCTTTGTGACATTTCGGCAATGCATCGCTATGATTTCGACAACGCAATGTTCTATTTGACAACATAGCGTTGTCATTTTGGTAACACATTATTATTATTACTTTTTTTGGTTAATTTGATAATTTCGTGTATTTTTATATTTGTTTTTGTTGGTTTGACAACTATCCGTACATACTAAGACAACGGATGTTATTGAAAAATTATAAACACTTTAGTGACAATTTTGTACCAGGCGTGTTCAATTTCAAAACGTATTTATTCCTTCTGTGTATATCTTCATCTCATGGTTTAAAATTTTTCCCAATTTTGTCGGCCTGTGTAACCAAAACTTTATTCCTCGACCTAAAAAAAATCTAAAGAAATACCCCCCTAATATTAAAAAAAAATAAACCTAAGTGTTTGTTTATGTATTTGTTGATTTATTTTTGTAATTCCACCCAATAACACATTAATATGAAAACTGTCTCCACAACATTAAGCTTGCCAAATGAGTGGGGTCTCCTTTACTCATTTTAATCGTGATGTATTGAAATATTTAATCACTCAGAGTTTATACAAAAAAAAAAAACTTGTTTTACTTTTTTGGAATATTTAAT